TTCTCCATGGCAGATCCCCCCAAAAGAGAACCGAGGCATGAGAGCAAGGGATGATTCTGGGCTACCGATGTTTGGGGGCAGTAGTTGTTGGGCCGATACAGAACGTCAGCCTTCAAGGCTGCAAATCCAACCGAACCCCCCACAGAATGTTTGATTTTTTTTAAAAACCCCTACAAGGATGGCTTCAGTAAGGAAATTCTCCTTGATTTATTCTGGGACGGGTCTGGCAGCCGACATATAAGACCAAGAGCCGAAAGGCTTGTCCGCAGGGGAAACTGACTGGAATAGTAATTCCAGAATAGCTCCCAAGGTGGATTCTCTATTCCAGAATAATTAGCATGCTTCTACAACGGAGTCATTCTTCTGGAATACGATAGCCGACGAGTGGCCGGCTGTTTGTTCCCTTCAACGGGCCTAGAGATTTAGCAGCCACAAACCTCACAGCGTAGACTTCAGGGCAAGCTGGTTTCCTTCCCACCACACCTATGCTTCCCCTGTGTCACATTATTGCTTTAACATACGCCCTCGCTTCTCTCTGGCAAGGGAGCAACAGGCGCTGGTTGGCAGTACCTTGGTAAGCTTTTTGTAGCTGGAGTGCAGCGGAACAGGCAGCATCTGGGCCAGCTCGCGGAGCGTGTGGGTGTAGTTACCGCGTCGCTTTCTGTGCAGGAATAAAGGAAGTTAAACGGTTGCTTCCAAGCGTGCTGGAACGCTCGCCTCTGAGCTAGCGCAAAGCGCATTTCACCGCCCAGACGAGCGGTACAGGCCTAGCTCCGGGAGGAGGCGGTAAACTACAGACTGAGTTGGCGGGCGCATTTTCACTATCCCGGCTCCCTAAAGGGGTAGAGGTGCCCTTGAGCGCTAGGCCCCGAAATACTTTGGAGGAACTGGGCGCAGGTACTATTGTCCTTCCGCAGGTACCCAAACAGGACAGATCTTTGACTGCGGCGCTGCCTACCTGATGAGACATTCAGGCTTCACGCAAATTGGGGAGCCGTCAAGACAGGCAGCGCCGCTTAGGAGATAGATTCAGAAGTCCTGGGTGCTAGTCTTGGCTCAGCCACTCATCTACTGTGTGAACTTGGACCACTCCTCTCACGTCCCCCTGCCCCAGTTTCCCCCCCTGTGTAATGGAGATGATTCAAACCACCTTGGTAAAGTACCACACCTGCCGCGCAGCTGGGAACGCCGCCTTCGGCGCTGTTTTTCGAAAGATACTTTCGAAAAAGCCTCTTTCAAAAAAGAGCGTCTGGACTACAACCAGTACTTTCGATAAAGCAAGCCGCTTTTTCGAAAGAGAGCGCCCAGGCAGTCTGGATGCTCTCTTTCGAAAAGGCACGGTTTGCATTACATAGCGCCTTGTTCCCAAAGGACACTTTTGACAAAAGGCATTCTTCCTTGTAAAACAAGGTTTTCCACGGTTGAAACAACGGCCACGTTCTTTCGATTTATTTTCGAAAGAACGCAGCGGCAGTGTAGACGCAAGGGACGTTTTTTCGAAAAAAAAGGGCACTTTTTTCGAAAAAACACTGTAGTCTAGACACAGCCCTTGAGATACTGACCAGTATCTCTGGAAAGAGCTCATTATTCAGATCAGCGCCATCTCCGGATTTTGTCCTGATATCATCCGACGTGGGCTGTGCCCACAAAAGCTCACGATACCAGCACCAGCTCCACGTTTTGTTAGTCTTTAAGGTGCTACTAGACCATTGGTTGTTTTTTCAGTTGATCATGTTGGTTAGGGGTATGATTTTTTTTGCTGGTGTAGTAATACCCACACATCGCAGAGTAAAGATGTCATTATGTGGAAACAAGCATGCTGTACTCCCATATGGTCTAGTTCCCTTCCCTTACACGAGTCATGTATACCCGTCAAAGCACATTAGTACCAAAAATCACTGTATTCACACCAGGATTGTCCCAATTTAGCTTGACCAGTGTTTCTCAACCAGTGGGCCAAGTACCCTTAGGAGTACTCGAAAGAAGTCTAGGGGGTACATCAATACAACTGAAATGTGGAGAAAACTGAATTTTTGTTTTACGTTTTACAGCTTTTTATTATTTTTGTACTTTTTACACTCAAAAATTGCATCGCCTGCCTGGCTACGACGAAGTTGTTTTAAACCAATGTGTTGCAATGGTAGAAAAAAAATTGATGTGTCTGAAAACTGTAGGTATTGAGGGTACTTATAATTTTTTTAAAGGGGATACTTTTTTTTTTAAGGGGTACTTTAAAAAAAGGTTGAGAAACACTGAGTTAGACCAGCCTAGTTAAAGAAGCATATTCTTTGCCTTAGGGTGGGGCCTCCTGGAACAAGGCAGTTCTGGTACGGATGCAAAGGAAGGAATTTGTATCTACTTAGCTCTCCCCTCGACTACGCCATCACTGTGAAAAGTTTTTTTGCATTGAGTTGGTTATCTTTACAAATGCCTGGGAGAGACAAGGTACAGATGGTCTCTACCTTGATGTAGCTAATTGAGTCACAAGCATATCTCCCATCTGACGCTAATCTCAACTACCTGCCTCCAGGTAAAAAGTACAAGAGGCCAGACTGATCACAATGGTCCCTTTCAACCTTGGAATCCTTCTATCTACACATCTCCGCTAGTGCTAGATTCCAAGACCAGAAGAGGCCCTGACAGTCTTACCTCCAGGCCAGAGAATGGCTCCAAAATCAGCAGAGCTTTTAAAAAACATCCCACTGTGATGCAAAAATGGTCAATTATGGAGGCTCCACCATGACCCTTGGGAAGTTATGTCCAGGGTTAATTTTGCTCACTGTTGAAAATGCACCCCTTATTCCCAGGCTGAATTTGTCTAGCGTCAACAGGATCAGGGCAGACCTTTGTCTGCTGGACCAAAGAGCCCGTTCTTAATTATTTGTTCACCACGAAGGTATTTATAGACTCTAACCTAGTCACCCCTCAACACTCTCCTTGGTAAGCTAAGCAGACTGAGCTCTGAGAGTCTATGACTGTCAGGCAAGCTTCCAGCCTTTCCTCATATGTGCAGTGTGACCTCTCCAGTTTATCCACATCCTTCTTGATTTTGTGTGCACCAGACCTGGACATAATATTTCAACAGCTGTTGCACCAGTGCCAGTTAGAGAGATAAAAATAACCTCTCTGCTGCTACTCCAGATTCCTCTGTTTATACGTCCCAGGATTCTATTATCCCTTTTGGCCACGGCTTCCCCCACCAGCTCAACTTTTCTGCAGAGTTTCCGGAGACTTTTGGGGGCCTCCCAGGATAGATCCAGGGCCGCATTATGACTTTCGTGGGCCCTAGGCACTTTTGCCTTCATGGGCCTTCAACATTTTTTTTTCTGTTTTAGGCAAAATTTAATAGATTTTCGTGGGCCCTAAAAGTTTCATTTTTTTCTGATGTGAGAAACAAATGAAAACATTTTCTTCGACCCTAAAAGTTCATTTTTTTCCTTCTGATTTTAAAAGAAATGAAAACATTTTTGTGGGCCCCTAAAAGTATCGTGGGCCCTAGGCACTGTGCCTCATGGATAAGTCGGCCCTGGATAGAGCCCCACATCCTGGAAGGATGGGGCTGCATACTGTGTTCGAGTTAGCTTCTTTCTGCAATGATGATAGTGCTGGTTTGAGACTGCCATAATCAAAACCTATTTTAGTCACTCCATCTGCATGGCTTTCCTAGTCCACATTCAAAGTTCCACCGGCCTAACAAAAGGCACAAGTTGATACCGATTTTGTTAAATCAGTTCAAAGCCCCGTATGGCCACTCTAAATTGGATTTAGCCTGATTTCTTACCCAGGCAAGTTCCATTGATATTAAGCCTGGTTATAATTGAACATAGAGCGTCTCCGCACAGTCTGCAACAGTGGTTTGAACTATTTTTTTTTTAAAGCCACCGAAAATTAACCCAGTACAGCTATGAACATCCAGGAGACCTTCACAATTTGCAGAATCACTATTCGCAGTTCCACATATTCGCAGGGGGGTGTCTCCTGTCCCGGCCTGGGGCCAGGAGCTGCAGGAAACTCACTGTAGCTCCCAGCCCCGAGTTCCCCACGACTGCCCAGGGCTGCGGTGACTTCCCTGTGGGTCCCAGCACCCACGGTGAGTTTGGGAGCTGTGTAGAGCTCACCCAGAAGGGCCAGGAGCCGCAGCGCCCAGTATTTGCGAATTTCGCAATCCAAAGTGAATGGTGAGGGTTTTGTGAAGACAGCCCTTGCCCCAAATCAGCAGTCCACGGAGACAGACAGACAGACTTGGGGGGGAGGAATATCAGGAATTGAGACAATGCCAGCCAGCGAGTCGGGCAGCGGCCTCAGCACGCCAACAGTTGTCAGGCTTCATGTTGGAAACGAATCACAGAGGAGTTTAGAGCAGGGTTTAGAAGGAGGTGGCTTTGCAGATGTTTACTACTTTGTTGGAAAGTTTCCCTGGTGAGTGACGGAGGCTGGTGCTATGGACCAGCTGGAGGGAGGAGTCAACAACTGGATAGCAAGGAAGATAAAAAGTTGGGTGCGGACAGGCCGTGAAGAGAGCTATAAAACCCATCCCTGTATTCCAGTCATCTGGGAGCAAGGCCGATGAAGTACGCATGCCCCTATTTTTAGGCTAGCTCTTCCCCCGCACACACACATACCCTCTGATCTATGGATACATATTGACAATCTTGACTCTGTCCTCAAAACGCGTTGTCTCTAGGAATTTCAGAGCCACTCCAAGAAACCGCCCTGCGAGTACGCCCCAGGGAAAGCAAAAGCCGTTTCACCATAACACAGCCCTTAAGGCCAGGAAGTGAAGACAAACTCCTGAACTTCACTCCTAGTTGCCAAGATTAAAGAAGGGAACCAAACGGGCTATTCTGGGACAGCGCTGCCTGGGCGTAAGTGGCGTGCCAAGGAGGGGTTTTGATGGGGCAGGGGGAAGAGCCGGGGGCATCTGGTGTCTGGCGTGGAAGGGATGGCTCCTAACTGCCCTGCCCCACATCCTCACCCGTCTCCAACGGTGCGCGGCTGGCAGCTGCCGCGGCTGGGACGCGGCTCCCAAGGGCCCGCACGCCCGATCTGGCCCCACATCTGCAAAGGGGAACAAAGAGAAGAAAGGGGAGATCCAATCGATCCTGGGCCAGGAACGAGAGGAAGAAACGGGGAGCCCCTGTGTCTGCATCCCTCCCCGCTGGACAGGGAGTGAGAAGGGGGTGCAGGAAAGTGGGGGGCACATCAACTGGAAGAAT